CTACATTTAGTTTGGAATGAACTGTCACAAAATATAATGACCCCAGGGGTCAAGAGAACCCTATAAAATAAAAAGTGCTGTGGGGATTTGAGCAGAAATGTACACATCACTTCATAAAACCCCGAACTTTAAAATGCATATTGAACAAAATCCATATTCAGTCAACCATGACAGTTATATTCGCCAATTAAATTTCCCTTCTTCCTACCTCATATTGAGACCAAATCTGTTTCATTCAGTACATATACACTTAGCCCCGGGTATTAAACAAACCCTTGCTTTAACATATGTTATCTTTATTGTACCAAACATGACCAAAAACGTATTCTTATGTTGGCATTAGTGTGCTCTTAGCTTGCATGTGTAAAAGAAAGGATCTAGTGCACTCTCCATTATAATTTCCCCATGAACAAACTGAATCATTTTTAGGTGTAACATGAAGAATACAATGTCAAATAATACTTTGGAAAATATTTCAGCATTTGCACCCACATGGGCTGAGGTTGAGGTCATGAAGTTCAGCAAGGGTGTAATATTTTCCGATTCTTTCAAATTGTTGATTTAGTTTTGATAACCTCGACCTTTTCTGATTTTCTAGTAAAAACCGATTTGCAACCCGAATTTTACTTGCAGTTATGTAAATGTATTGTTTAATCAAATGTCTGTAACCATGTACATTGTACTTGTGATCCGCTGTATCATAAACGATTCCAATAAACAAATAGAATGAATTATTCACGTACGTGTAGTCTAGTAAAATTTTGATTGTAATGGAGTTAATGATGAATAAGATATCTGTATGAATAAACACAAGGATAGATTATAAAACAATTGTCTATGTTCGGTGAATACCCGCGGCACTTTCACAAGATGATATTTCACTAGCCCCTCGGGCTTGCTAGAATATCACTCGTGAAAGAAGCAAAGGCATTCACCTCATTAGCATTACATATTAGTATAGTATTTGTATTATTGTGAATATTTTCTATTTGCTGATTATCCAACGATTTATTTTTAGGTTGTTATTACTGCACCGTGTTCATATACCTACATAAGATGGAAAGTAGAGTGTTGCTGCTTCATATCGTGGTTGGTTGTATCTCATTTTTTCCACTTTACTGTAGTAAGTATATGAGTTTGTTAGCAATAAATTGCAACTCATAAATTAAAACGTAATACTAATATTGATAAAATTACGTAGGCCGATACAAACAGACTCTATCATTTTAAAACCATCAATTGAAATTTCTTTGATCAAGCATCACGTGTCTACTAGTGCAAATATTTTTGCTCTATGTATAGTTGCAAATCACAATTATTCACTTGGCACCTTTTGAGGTTGATCCCGCCTATGGCATTAATGGTTGAGAAATAGGGATCGAAACCAGCCATAGTTTTCTCCTGATGACCATATGATTGTGAATTGTTGGGTTTTATGTATTATGACGACGGCTTTGCGAACGGATGTTGACCCTTTGAATTGCCTTTGGACTTCGAGACTGGATTGTATCCATCCCACATCATTTGAGACTGGATATTCTATCTTTTATGAGTACTAGTATTTACAACTATTTTTGATGTTATGAGTATTGGGTATCAATCTTTTCAATTTTTCTTCAACATGTATTGTAATGACTTCGGTATGAATGAAATGTCCCTTGGTGTTCTGGTCCTGAATTGTGATATTGGTTCTCGATTGGGTGGGGGAGGGGGATGTTAGACATTGTTTCTTTTCACGATAGATCGTGGTTTTGGGATATATAGGGTCTACTCTTCTTATGACAGATTTACACTTACAGTTTGCTTTTCTTGTTTGGTTTCTTTAAAGTTTCAAGTCACCCTTCCCTTTGGCATTTGCGCTTATCTATTGCTACCTTTTCACTCAAGATGGTACTGAGACAGGGTGCAATCGGGAACTATACTCAAAGCTAGGTCTATGTGCAGTTAAGTATGGCAAGTGGTTTTAGAGAGTCATATATTTCACCATGAGTACTTTTTGGGCATGAATACAGTGGTTTTTATTCAAACAATACGTTTTCTTTCAAGTTTTTCAACTTCATTTCAAATAGCCTTGATGATAAAACTATCAGTCGAACAATTCGAAAAATTATGAATATGTCAACATTGTTTCAAAATGTTGAACCTATTTATTCAAAAGAGGAATTTCTTCTTCCGATGTTAATTGCATGCAAAGATTATTCAACTAGAAAACGGCAACTCCACAGAGTAGCAAATCCCAACGAACACTATATAAATCGTCAATCTGTACAGTTAAAATGTAATATTTACCATCTACTCTTCCCTTTAATAAAATTCAAGATCATTGTAGTTTAATGTAACCATACTTTCAAGATAACTCTAAGTAATGACGAATTTCTGCTCTAGTCAACCATTTCGAATTTTCAGAGGCACAAATCAGAAAAACAATGCCATAATTGTGATCTACTCTGAAATTCCTTCAATTTGAGTATAATATAGCCATACTTTTAAGAGATCAGAAAATAATTGCGAAATCCCGCATTAGGCGGCCATTTTGAATTTTTTGAGGCTCGAATCAGAAAAAACGCATCAATATTTGCAATCTACTCTAAATTGCCTTTCATTTGAGTAAAATAAAGCTATACTTCAAAAACATCTCAAAATTAACGCAAGTTCGTGTTTTCCCAACCCCCCATTTACGGCCCCTGGAGGTCAGGGTGGAAATCCTGGAATATGTGAAATAGATAGATGTTGGTATATTCTACTAAAATTTCAAATAAAAATGTTAATTATTTTGGTTTAAAATGAAAAACATAAGATTTTTGCGAATAATTCCCCCAATTTTCAAACTGGCGGCCATCTTTTTTTGCGTGAAACTATTCACCAATATACATCTTTCCATCGAATATGAAGAAAATGTGTTGACTAGTATTCGAGTTATCTTCCGGACAGACTGAGTGACTGACTGACTGACTGACTGACGGACGGACGGAGGGCTTCACTATATCCCTACTGAACTTCGTCCGTTGGGATAACAAGGGGTCTAACACATTTTCAACAGTAGAATGATATTGAAAGTTTAGTTATGAAGATATCACTTTTAGATGACCAAAATTATGCTGAAAACAATGGATGGCACGAATTTTCGCCATGGGAAAAGAACATGGGATACAGTGTATGAGTTTTTTTTTATCTTTAACACATTTCAATATACATCCCCTTTACAGAAATTGTTAATATAGTGTAAAAGAAACGTTCGATATGTTTAAATTGAGAAAAGCAAGATCTTCTTTTTAGAAAATGATCATACAATTTAAAAAAAGTGCAAAGGTGAGGCCCTTATCCATAATTTTTCACAGAGTTGGATTGATATTTTACTATTATGGGTACTTCACTTGAAAGAATACATATTGTTATAGTAAATACCACTGTAGTCATGGTCATAAAGTACCCATGCTGAAAGGTATGACCTGACCGTCTAAAATCACTTGCAATACTGCACATGAACCTTTACACATTATTGTCCCCTCAAAAAGGGAAAGAACACACTTTACCTTGTTACTTTACTTTACCTCACATTACCTTGCTTTATAACATATGTGTATGGATTGATTCATTTACATACTGAATCTCATTTAGTTTATTAGATTTAGTGTATCGAATTTGAATGTAGTTTACAATTTATTTTTTTCAAGAGAGGACCAATCATTTATTATGCAATTCAGATCTTGTTGTGTTTTTCATTATTTCAAGCGAAATGTAGAATTCCCAAGAAGGGATCAAGAACCTGTGTCCAGAGTTCAGATTGCCCTTTCGGATATGGTTGTACGAATGAAAAGTGCTGCCTCACGACAATATGTCGATCTGGAATACCATGGAATGAAAAGGGAAAAGTTTTCAATTGTGAAGATAAAAAATGTAAGAAGAAATTCACATGCGTTCGAGATAATGAAGCATTGGCATCCGTATGCTGTAAAGGTAAGATTACTTAGTTATTTAGTAAACGCCCTTTCAGGTAGTCACTGCAAACTTTCATTTATTATATCAGAAATTTTTAGGTTGTACTAAAACCAATGTCCGAATATCTTATCTTGTACTCAGCTCAAATAACATCTCTTTTGTTATTTTGACTACAAAGCTTGCGATATTTCCTCAAAGCACGAATTATTAAGATAAAATTTTCAATCTCTGAAATGTTATTTTCGCGGATCCTTTTGTTATTTTCATGTGACCATGACAGTTTTGACTAACCAGGTGTGCCAAGTTATTCTGGCTCTAACTCACTACCCTACATCGATCGCGTATGCGCAAAATTTTTGGCTTTCAACTAGGTCGCGTTGGAGTATATCGACTGCTTAGTCAACAGGTTAATACGTCTGGTGACCAAAATTATGCTGAAAACAATGCATGTAACGAATTTTCGCATGGGAAAAGAACAGGGGATACAGTGTATGTGTTTTTATCTTTAACACATTTCAAAATACATCCCTTTTACAAAAATTGTTAATATAGTGTATAAAAAACTTTTGACATGTTTAAATTTAGAAAAACAAGATCCTCTTTTTAGAAAATGAGCCTAAAATTAAAAAAAGGGTAAAGGTGGGGCACCAATCCATTATTTTTTAGAGCGTTGGATTGATATTTTACTATTATGGGTACTTCACTTGAAAGAATACATATTGTTATAATAAATACCACTGACTGTAGTCATGGTCATAAAGAACCAATGGTGAAAGGTATGACCTGACCGTCTAAAATCACTTGCAATACTGCACATGAACCTTTACACATTATTGTCCCCTCAAAAAGGGAAAGAACACATTTCACCGTGTTACTTTACTTTACCTCACATTACCTTGCTTCAAAGCATATGTCTATGGATTAATTCATTTACATACTGAATCTCACTTATTTCATTAGATTTAGTGTATCGAATTTAAGTGTAGTTTACAATTTATATTTCTCAAGAGAGGATGCAATCCTATGCAATTCAGATCTGGTTGTGTTTTTTATTATTTCAAGCGAAATGTAGAACTCCAAAGAAGGGATCAACAACCTGTGTCCAGAGTTCAGATTGCCCTTTCGGATATGGTTGCACGAATGAAAAGTGCTGCCTCACGACAATATGTCATTCTGGAATACCTTGGAATAGAAAGGGAAAAGTTTTCAATTGTGAAGACAAAAAATGTAAGAAGAATTTCACATGTGTTCGCGATGATGACACATTGGCATCCGTATGCTGTAAAGGTAAAATTACTTAATATTTAGTAAACGCCCTTTTAGGGAGTCATTTAAACTTTCATTTTCAAGGAAAAAATTGCTTAAATAAAAAAACAAAAAATTTTTTCATTTATTATATAAAAAAGATATAGTAAAAAATGTGGACGTTTTTTGGAGAGCCCTCTGTATAACTCTGAATTATTTTATAAACTTAACTGAAATACAAGTGCATCTGTTTGCGTCTATTGTAGCAACTAAGCCAGTGATGACAACGACAGCAACAACAGATAAAAACAAACAAGGTAATGCAACTAAAAATCCTCTCCTTATCTGTAATTTTGGGAGCGAGGTCCATAGTAGAAGTGTTTTAATGCAAAGTTACAGGGCAAATACCATCACTTCCTCTGGATGAAAGAACAAGTGCATTTGATATATATAATAAGACAATTGTCATTTATTCTTGATATAATTAAAAGTTGTACTAAAACCAATGTCAGAATATCTTATCTTGTACTCAGCTCAAATAACATCTTTTTGTTATTTTGACTACAAAGCTTGTGATATTTCCCCAATACACGATTTATTAAGGTAAAACTTTCTATCTCTGAAATGTTATTTTCGCGGATTTCTTTGTTATTTTCATGTGACCATGACAGTTTAGACTAACCGAGTGTGCCAAGTTATTCTGGCTCCAACACACTACCCTACCTCGATTGCGCATGCGCGAAATTTTCGGCTTTCAACCAGGTCGCCAGAAGTATATCGACTGCTTAGTCAACAGGTTAATACGTTTGGTACTCGGGTTGAGTCACTGGAGAGGTTAAGCAAATACGGTTTTTCAAAACGTATACGTAAACGCAAAGTACATTGAATCAACATAGGATTGTATCGCTTTAGTCTACATCAGATACCCGTTCAACTTCAAAGTTGCGTGTTTAGAACGGGAGATTTTAAATTTCACGTTGCTATCAACGGGAATCATTATTCAATGCTTTATTGTACTAAAAATCCCTTTCGGGTGAGTGTACAGCAAATAAACATGATAAAATAAAACTAAAACTATACATACAATTACAATAACATACAATGCAAATTTTACATGGCATATAATGACAATATAATGTGATTGACTGATCATTAGATATATACCAACAACTACTATTAGCCTACACCAACATGTATATATTTATATTGATAATATAGTTGTTGATCTCTTTTCAATTATTTCATAAAGGTATTTTGCAAAGGTGATACACATGTTACCCTCAGCATTAAACATATAATTAGCGTTTTCTTCGGTAGTCAATACAGTTAGATTTGGGCAAATCGAGTTAAACGTATCAAAGTATTCATATCTCATTTTTTTCCAATTTTTAGCACTCAAAAATAAAATGAGTTTCCGTACCAGTGTTGATTTTACATAATTTGCATTTTCTTTGATCTCTCGGAACTATTGGTCTTGTATACCTTCCTCGCTCTATTTCTAAATTGTGTGCACTTATTCTTAATCGCGTCATAGATTTCCTATGTTCAGCGTTCTTTATTAAATTCAAATATGGTTCTTTTCCCCATCGTTGTTTGATATTATTCAAAAATTCTAATTTCCCTTTATTATCATTGACAGTTTTTTCCCAATATTTTATATATCTTTTTTCAAGGATTTTCTTAATATCAAGCGGTTTACTTTTAATGTAATTTTTATCTTGTAGTTGAACATATGCCATTATTTTATCAATGTCATAGTACCATGATGGTTGATTATGAACTTTTGATAGTTCAATACTATCTGCATATGCATTAATTAGTAATGAACTCGTTCCTTCATTTTCTATATGATCTAAGTATTTAACTTGTTGGTAAAATATATTGATAAACAGAGGGAATCTACCTAACTCACCCATCGTAGCTAAATTACTCGTTTTTCTATGCACCCCTAATAGAAACTTCAAAAAAGATAGATGTAGTAATTCCGGTGGAAGTGACTTGTCATATTTCATTTCAAGGCCAAAATCTTTATTTTTCAGAAGATCTTTATTAGTTATTAGACCAGCACCCCAGATTTCACATCCATATAATAAAATTGGTATTACTAATATGTCAAATAATTTCAGGCACAAAGTGAGGTTAATATCACCATGTGTAAGCATACTTATCAATTTGAATTCCGCCTTTTCTGCTTTTTCTTTAATAAAGATTGCAGCTTGTTTCATCGATCCGTTGGCATGGAATTCCATACCCAAATAAGTATACTTTGATACGTTTTCAATTACCTGGTCCCCAATGTAGAATATATCATTACATCGTTTACCACTTTTATTAAACATTACAATTTTAGTTTTATCAGTATTGATATCTAAGTTCCATTGTTTACAATAATTGTTTAATTTTTTCAATGTTATGTCCATATCAGTTTTATTTGCAGTAATTATGGCTAAATCATCTGCAAATAGCAGGCAACTTATTTTTTGTTTTTGTAATTTTAAGTCTGATTCAAGTGTTAATTCTTCAACAACATCATTGATGTAAATATTAAACATTAATGGACTGAGTGGGTCCCCCTGTTTAACCCCCCTCTCACATTTAAAGATATCAGTATGGTCACCGTTACTGTTAATTCTAACTGATGCCATTGAATTAGTATACATGTGTTTTACCATGTGATAAAAATGACCTCGAATTCCTGCTTGGAGAAGTTTGAGATACAGTCCCTTATGCCATATCGTGTCGAATGCTTTTCTTAGATCTACAAAGCAAATATACATTTTCTTTTTCTCAAAGTGTATAAATCTGTCAATTAGCGTACGAATAATAAACATATGGTCTGTGGTTCGTGACTTTTTCTTGAAGCCAATTTGGTTTTCCTGTAACATTTGATTTTCTTGGACATAGTTATATAAAAGATTATTCATTATTATGGAGAACAATTTTGCCAAGCAGTCTGATATAAATAGTCCACGATAATTTCCAGGATCACTTGAATTACCCTTCTTGAAAACAGTTATTGTTGATGATACATTCCACTCTTTTGGGAAGAGTGTATTTGAAAACATAGTATTAAACATCTTTAAAATAATATTCCCTATCACAGGGTATGATGTTTTTATCATTTCATAACTGACACCATTATGGCCAGTCGCCTTTTTATTTTTCAGGCCTTTCACTGCTTGCCAAAGCTCTTCATCCGTTATTTTATAATCTAAATTATCAAATGTTTTATCATTTTCCAAAGCCTTTATTTTCTCATCCATAGTCGTGTCATTTGATTTATCTGTAAAAAGCTTGGAATAGTGATCATACCAGCCCCGAGGTGATATATCATTTCCGTCACTACCTTTTTCATTATTTCTCATTTTGTCCAATAGTTCCCAATATTCTTTAGGGTCTGTTTCATACAGATTTTCTAACCTATTTAGCAGTTCTTTTTTATATTCTTTCTGTTTACCTTTACAACACTTTCTATAATGCTTTAAATATTTGAAATAATTGTGTCTAACACAGCTATCATTGGGATTTTTCGTCAGTATCTGACCAAGGGATTTAACTTTCTTTCTTAATTTAACACAGTCATTGTCATACCATTTATTTGATTTTATTTGTTTCCTCTTACCTGACATCTTTTTCTTTTTCAGTGTAAGTTTGGCTGCATTTATAAATATACTTTCAACTTACCCAATATTAGTTTGACTTGTTAATGCATCTGCGAAATTTTTAGTTTGTGATGGGTCCCATTTAAATTTACTAGCAGAAATCCGTTTGATAACTCTGTCATCACTACCACTAATTTCCTGCTTCAACTTTGTTACCTTATTTACCCTCAAAAGCAGTGATATCATGCAATGATCAGTCAAATCTGTCAGATATTCACTTATTCTAAAGTACATTATATTTTTGAGCATTTTCTGCTCAACTATACAGTAATCAACTACACTACTTCCGTTCCATTTATGACAAGTGTAGTTGCCTTGCGAATCGCCTATAACTCTGCCATTAACAATTCTTAAGTTAGAGGCTTTACATAGTTCAATCAATTTTTTCCCATCAGCATCTATCTTATTATCACTGCTGGAACGCTCATGGATTGGTGTATCTATTTGGTACGGAATGTCATGAGGGATATAATCATGTATTTCATCATTCTCAATGTAATCTTTCATATTACCAGTGCGGGAGTTCAAATCCCCAAGTATTATTACCTCACCTTTCGTTATATATTTACTTACTTCGCTTGTTAAGGTGTCATACATATCCGAACCGTCATCAGATTTGCCTTTGTAATTACTCGGGGACATGTACACAACACATATAAATATATCTCGCTTGTTATCAAAATATTCTCGTGATAGTTTTGCCCATAATATATTGGGGTTTTTAGTTTTAATGAACGCTACACCTTTAAATATATGTTTTTTAACCAATATCGCGATTCCTCCGTGTCGTTTATTACCTGTTTTGGACCGAGTTACTTCACATGATGTGAAATTCTTTAGACTACTGAAATCGTTTGGCTCGTCCTTTGACCCATGTGTCTCTGTTAAGCATACAATATCATGATCTTGTATTTGTGAGATGAAATCTTTATCAATTATTTTATCGCGTGCGCGACTCTTTAACCCTTGAACATTCCAGCAGGCAACAGATATGTGATCAACTACTTGTAAACCTGTCATATAGCCTACGATTAACACTTCTAATACACAGGATTATATACATATGAAATCCATATATCTACTACGATAGATCCAACCTTTAAAGATTCTTAATCTAATTCAAATATCCTTATCTAATCGATTCTTATACTTAAGGGCACAAGATTCAATACAGGGAAGAGCGCATACTCTGTGTTTATAGTATTTTATGTCACATCATATTTTGTATCACACTATACTATGCCTATTGTATCAATAAGAGACACGTATCACATATTTAGAAAAGTTATAATATTAATTTTACAAAGATATATATTGTATACCCATTATAGTTTTGATATGAGTCCTTCCCTGTAAGGTGCCATATTCTAAGTGTTTAGCATAAAGTCCCAGAGGGTGCATTTTAATATAAATAAATACCCAGTGGGTATTCACATTACAACAGTCTATAACTAATGTAACAATAACTAGTAGACCTAGCAGTCTTAATATTTTCTGGACCTAAAGGAGTTATTCCTAGATCTTGTTTGTTCATAGTTAGTTGGACGACCATTGAATCTTGGTTGATCATATCGGTTTGGCCAATTGTTTGGCCTATCATTGCTGTTACGCCTGGGGTGGGGAAGACCAAACATATTTCTTAAAGTATTCAATAT